GCTGAGTAATATTCCATTATATAAAAGTACCACAATTTTCTTATCCAGTCCTCGGTGGATGGACATTTGGTTGCTTCCTCAATTTAGCAATTACAAATTGTGCTGCTATGAACATAGGTGCACATATATCGCCATGATATGATGTGTTTAGATCTTCTGGGAAAATACCCAGAAGGAGAACAGCTGGGTTGAATGGGACCTCTAGTCTTAGTTTTCTGAGGAATCTCCAAACTGATTTCCACTGTGGTTTCACCAGTCTGCATTCCCACCAGCAGTGGAGAAGGGTTTCTATTTCTCCACAGCCTCGCCAGCATTTGTTATTGGTTGATTTCTGAATGCTAGCCATTCTTACTGGGGTAAGGTGGAATCTCAGTGTTGCTTTAATTTGCATTTCTCATATGACTACATTAGTCCTATTTATTTCTCAGGGCTAAAAAGTTGGCACAGATGTAGTAGGCTAGTCTTAGGAGTCCTGAAAGTCTTTTCAAGAAGGATTTGGCACTCTGTCTCGTAGGTGACCAGCAAAGGAAATAGCTCTGTGAAGAGAGAGATGGCTGTTCAGTCTTGGGGAATTTTGTTGAGAGACTGACATTTGGGTTAATGACTGCAGTGGTGACCTTTACAGAACTGAGGGATTGGCAGGCATAGCTAATCAGAAAACAGGAAATGTTCTGAATAATTCCTTCAAGTCCAAAGTTGTGCATTTGAGTCAGTTGTTTTGTTCTGGGCTGAAAGTATTTAATTTCTTTCCATAGGAAGGAACAATCATAAGGCAGGGAGAAAGACTGTCCCATAATTTATTTGGGTGTTTAGTGCCTGTTTCAGTTACTTTTCTTGTTGCTGGAACAAAATACCTCACACCCAAAGTTAAAGGGGCGGGGAGGTTTACTTAGCTCATAGTTTGTAGAGGTTTCAGTCCATAATTGGGTTCAAGGCTTGGTAGAGGCGCATCCCAGAGGAGAAACAGTTCACTGCAGCAGAAGACAGCAAAAGCAAGCAAGGGAAGAGGGAGAGAAGCCTCTTTCTTTCCTTATATTGTATCCAGTCTACCGGGATTAAGGCAATGCCAATCCTATCAGTGGAGTGATCCAGCAACTACCCACCCCTAATCCTAGCACGCATGATCCCAAAATTGCACCACAAATCAGTGACACCTTCTAGATTCAGTCACGTCCCAAAAAGCCCTATCAAAAACTGCATGAGCCTTTTGGGGGACATCCAGACACAATCTACAATACTGCCTGAAACTTTGCCCTTTAAAAAAAGAGATAGACTCAAATAATTAAGTAATATAAATATTTAGCTGCTCCCTTTGTTTTTAACACACAACTAAATCATTCATTGGAAGAGCTGTGGAACAATTTGGTTTTTCTCATTGGATTATAAATTTATATCTGGTTTCTGATATGCTCTTAAGTGGCTTATAGCAGCCATGTGAAGCTTGGCCTGGTACTGAAGGATTCCCAGTCTGACCATAACCTTCTCACATGGCCCTTTACCCAATTTTATGCCCTTTAGTTCCAGCCAGTTGGCCTCTGCAGAGTCTCAGAAGTGACCAGATCTCTCCTGCCCCATGTTTGACCCGCCCACATCATTGCTTCTACCTAGAGTGAGGTTTTCTTCTCAGCTCTTCATTTGCAATTTTTCCTGGTCATTAAGTCCCCATTGTGGCTCTGCTGCCTGTGTGAGCCCTTCACATAACCCTTCCCTGTGGTACTAAGGCTTGAAGTCACCTTTCTTCCCTGTGAGTTTGCCTTTTCATCTGTGCCCCTGTGGTGCCCACTGAAATCCTTTCTCTGTCAACCACACACCTGTCTCCTGAAGGCAGGAACCATGTCGTGGGTATTTTTTGTATCTCTTACAGTGTCCAGCTCAATGCCTGCCAAACAGGCATTTTGAAATATTTCAAAAATATTTGTTGGGTGGGAAAATGAATTTGGTTAATGCTTGTGGAAGAATTCACCCAGTGGACCAGTTCTGTAGCCTAAGCTGTGAGGTCCTTTGGCCTGAGCTGGCCACTCATTATTCCTGTTTTCCCCTTACAGGAGGGAAACATAGAAAGGGAAGCCAGCTGGACTATGTGATACCCACTCAAGTGGAAAAATTAATGCTTAGTGGAGTAAGAGTCATGACTCATAGCCTTGCTATGCTGTGGTCTTGCAAGCATGAGGTGGCTAGTCCCACAGCCACTCTGTGCTGGGAGCAATGTGACTTTTGACTGAACAAAGCTCACTACCTCCTACATTCCACAACAGCAGAGGGGGAGAAAGACCTAGGTGTGGTTCAGAGTGTGGCTTGTCAAAGTAAGACTGCCTGAGTTCAAAACCTCATCCTGCCACTTTTTGACTGGGTGATTCTGAATACATTTCTCTTCAGTTTCTTTAGCTGTGAAAGGGGGATGACAACAGAAATACAGACCATTTCTAAGGATATGAGATAATGCTTACACAGTGTTGGTACTCAAAGATTAACTTTTATTTTGGTAAGCTTCAGAGGACTAGGACCCAAGAAAGGCCCTGTTCTTCAAACTTTGCTGCAGGGAAACTTGAGGCACTGGCTGGATCCACTCCTTGGCTCCTTTAGGCCAGTGGATCAAGCAGGCTCAGACAGAGGCACAAGACTCTGGGTCTTCAGAAAAGGTGGGCCAAGAGCTACAAGCGGGCTGGTCCTAGATCTTGTACCTCTCCTAATTCCTTTGTCCAAGGCCTCTGGGAGAGAGTTTAGCTTCACCTTTACTGTGTTTGAGTTTTAACAAACTTAGAGGCTGCGTGGGCTCTACAGCTGAAATGCCAGATTTCTATCAGGGCACCACTGCCCCAGATGAACTCAACCACTTTCATAGCTCTGAGTCATAGTATTTTTATCTATAAGATGGTGTACTAGCACCTCAAAAGTCAGCTCCATTGGTTTCCTTCAGCAGCAAGCTGGAGAGACAGAGGCCCCAGAGAACCTGGGTAGAAGATAGGAAGAACATGATGGCATTTCCATGATTTTGAATCCCATCTCTTAATTCCTTATAAACCTGGGGATGGGAAAATGCTATAGGCCAATAAGTGCATTCTATTGGGAAAATCTTTTTTTACCTTTTTTTTTTTTTTTGGTCTTTTTGAGACGGGGTCTCACTATGCAGTTCAGGCTGGTCTTGAGCTCACTCTGTAGCCCAGGCTGACCTCGAACTTGCAACGATCCTCTTGCCTCAGCCTCCCAAGTGCTGGGATTACAGGCATGCACCACCATGCCTGGCTTCTATTGGGAAAATCTTGATTCAGATAGTCCCCACTGGAAGCTGATAAATGGGGAAATGTGGGCTCTCAGGTAATATGCTTTGAAAGAGTGAGTGTATTTTACATGCATTCTATCCCTAGTTGATTGAATCTCTGATTTTTTATTTGCAGATGAGAAGAAGAAAACAAAGAAAGTTGATAATGAACTCAACCCTGTCTGGAATGAGGTGATGTCATTGTTTTTTCAACTTTATTTTTAATGGATAAGATATGTCTGATTGTTCCTCTTTGGGTCAGAGGTTAACTTATCTCTTTGGTTTGTTTGTTTGTTTTTGTTTTTGTTTTTCTTCCAGTACCAGGAATCAAATTCACGACCTTGTGTTTGTCAGGCAGGCACTGTGCCACTGAGCTAAATCCCCAGCCCCAAATTTCTCTTTGGAAAGGGAATCTTTTTTCGTTTTTTGAACCAAGGTCTCACTTTGTAGTGCAGCTTTGCCTTACCTCATTGTGTAGCCCAGTCTGGCCTCCCACTCACAGTGATCCTCCTGCCTCAGCTTTCCAAGTGCTGGGATTACAGGAGTGCCACCACCATGCCTGGCTCTGGAAAGGAAATTTCTGTATTTCCCTTCCATCCCCTCCACCTCTTGTTATTCCACCAAGAGCACAGTGCAATTCAAGAAGAGAAAATAAAAATGACCACCCCCAGTAGAGCAGCAGTGTGGTGAGAGGAGCCAGGACAATAGAGAAGACTGAGACTTCACCTAGCTCAGTCCCAACTCACTGTGTGACCTTGGTCCACTACTATGGCATATCTAAGGAACATCTCTAGAGCAAGGGGAAGAATTAGATCATCTTCAAAGTCCCAAAAGGGAAGCTCCACAATTAAGAACATATCTGGAGTTAAGAACATATCTCACTTTGTAGCCCAGGCTGGTCTCGAACTTGCAACAATCCTCCTGCCTCAGATCATCTTCAGAGTCCCAAAAGGGAAGCTCAGTGGTTCACCACTTTCCTAGTGTGTGTGAGGTTCAATTGTTAGTAAGTCAGAAAAACCCACAAAACAAAACAATAACACAAAATTAGTATGCCTCACAGATATGGAGAAAACATTCATAAAATTCATCTGGAACCAGAAGAGGCCTAGAATAGCAAAAGTAATTTTAGGCAACAAAGGAAAGGCAGGAGGCATCACAATTCCTGACCTGAAATTATACTACAAAGCTACCATGATAAAATCAGCATGGTACTGGCAAAAAAAACAGACCTGAGGATCAATGGAACAGATAAGAAGATACAGACACAACCACAAACACCTTATCTTTGACAAAGGGGCCGGACATGTTCACTGGAAGAAAGCCTCTTTAGTAAATTGTGCTGGAAACACTGGCTTTCCATATGCCAAAGACTAAAATAGACCCATGTCTCTCACCATGCACTAAGGTAAAAATGGATCAAAGATCTAAATATTAAAATAGAAACACTAAATGTGCTGGAAGAGAAAGTAGGTAGAAATCTTGAAAACATAGGGGTAGGCAGAGAGTTCATGAGAGAGAGTTCAAACTGCAAAAGAAATACTTCAAAGAATCAACAGTTGAGATCTCATCTTATTGAAAAGCTTTTGCACATCCAAAGAAATCATCATTAGAGTAAAAAGAAAACCCACAAACTGGGAAAAGATTTTAGCCAACTGTCCCTCAAACAAAGGACTCCTGTCTAGAAGCATTGTTAATTTCCTACCACTTTTTTTGTAACTCTGTATTGTCTGTACTGTTCTTTTGCTATTTTGTAAAAGGTTGTCTGTCTGTTAATGTTTTCCTCCTTTTATTTTTAAAATTTAAAAAAAAGGTCTCCTGTCTAGAACATATAAAGAATTTTTAAAAATCAGGCATCCAAAATTCAAAGACCCGGCCCAAAAATGGGCATCTGAGATGAATACACACTTCTCAGATAAAGAAATACAAATGGCAAATAAATACATGAAAAAATGTGCAACATCACTGGTCATTTGACAAATGCAAATTAAAACAACACTGAGATTCCATCTCACCCCAGAATGAATGCCTATCATCAAGAAATCTACCAATAACAAATGCAGGACATGGAAGGGAACTCTTCATAGCCTGATGACTCAGAAAGAGTTCCCTTCCATGTCCTGCAAATCCTTATCTCTCAAATAGTTTCAATATCTCTGTAAGATAAGGGCTGAGTCTTACCTTTAAATGAGGTGAAATAAAAAGCCTTCAAAAAGCCCTGCTGTCTCATGGGAAGTTCACCTCTTTGTGATTTCCCTGGAACCCAGAGCGGCCAGCTAGACCACAACACCATGAGAGCAGGTGGCCTGATTGATTGATCACTATGAATTCCTTGCACCTGACACAGAGTTCCAAGAATAAAACAAAGTACATGTATTCTGTAACTACTCTTTGTCTTTGGCAATGAGATGTCCTTTCATGTGAGCTGGCATGTATTCTGGAGGACTTCATATTGCATTTTGTTCCCAGTATGCTTTGTTTCTCTTATTGCAAATGTATTTATCACAACTGCCATTTTATAATTGAGACCAAATCTGAATGAAACACCAACCCCAAACCCACTGGGATTGGTGAGTATGTTCTTATATGAACTATGAGACGAGTTTTCCTTCCATCCCAAACCCACTATAAGGAGCCTCAAAACATTGTTTGATTTATTTAATTCATTTATTGTTCTATCGGTCAAAGGCAACAGTAGTGTGGTGGGTTTTGTTTTTCATTTATCACTAGAAATCAGTTTATTGCATTAAAATGAGAAACTCAGGAAGGTCATTTGTGTACAACACTGACTGCAGTGGAAGTTAAAATAGTGGGCTGACGAGTTTTAGAAAATGTTTTGTTAGATTGTTCTTCTTTGTTTGATAGTGACATGAATAAGAAGAGCAAACAATTTTAAAATATCCATTGAAGAAAACATTTTCACAGATACACTTCATTTTATTTTGCAACAGTTATAGGTGATACATCAATTCCTCTGACTGAGTCAGAGATTTGGGGGCCTATCTAAAAGCCACTGAACCCAGAAAGTGGGAAGGAGGCATTATTCACATGTTCTCTGAGCCTGAGTCTGGTTTGCTTTCCCATAACCTTCAGCTTTCTTCAGGTTTAGAATTTAATAATTTTGATCTAACTATAGAAATGAGTTATTCAAAGATTGTCCTTGGTGAAGTAATGTTCTAATATGCACCATGGGTGCATCCTAATTATTTTCCTGAATCCATTTAATAGCCTTTTTGTTTCCATAACCTTTGTGTGAACAGATTTTGGAGTTTGACTTGAGGGGCATACCACTGGACTTTTCATCTTCCCTTGAGATCATTGTGAAAGATTTTGAGACAATCGGACAAAATAAGTAAGTCACTTTCAGTGGTTTTGTTAAAATTTTACATATTATCTTATGATATTTATTCCCTTAAAGAACATATCTTTAATAACATAGTGCTTTGAATATTATAGTGCTTTAATTTCTATCCCCTTATGAGCCAATACCAGATGTAGCTAATCAATTACAGACTTTTTTTCTAATAACTGCAGTAGTCCAAAGATGCTAACAACCCCAAACCACCACTAGTCTATCTGGTAACGTCTTCGTTAATTGCACATAGGCACTTCTTAGCTCTGGTGTTTTATTTGAACTGTAGCAATAGTAAACACAAACCAACATCTTTTCTTGTGGTTATGTGTGACCTGTATACATCTCATTAAAGTTTACTTTCCATCCCCAATTAATTTTAATGTCTTATTAACCTTTTACACCCATGCAACCTAAATCATTTTAGTACTTCTTCCCATCTCAAAAGGGCTAGGGTAATGGTGGTGTCCATGCTGAGGTGAGGATTGCCCTGTGGGTAAACCTGGGGCATGGAGGGGGCTGTAGACAGATTCCCATGCAATAGACTAACCTTGGTAAATTCACCCCAGTGCTAAATCTTGGCTTTGGTCTTGTAGATTGAGAACTCATTCTTGTGTTACCAGTTAAAATGAGTTCCCAAGAGACTATAGTTTAAAACCAAAATTCCTACTTGCTATTTTCCACTAGAAAACAATTGTCTGGTAAGCATTCTTACTCTCAGATTCATGAACTTTCCTTCCAGTCACACCATATGGGAAGGCAAATTACTTTGTGTTCTTGATTGTAAGATATCTTTATTCCTAAGACATGCTATTAAATTAGTAACATTGTGGAGGGAAAAGAAGCTCACATCAATTATAAGAAGCATCTCAGTTTTTTAGTAATGTTAGTACCTTTAAAAATGTATATCTTAATTTAGGCACATTTGGTATACCATAAGAAGGCTGCAACAGGATTAATAAATGAGGATGAATTTGCTGAGGTAGGGCGACCATACCTGACTTGCTTGGGACAGTCCTAGCATAATGTTTAAATAATGTCTCCAGTTATTGTACTAGCACAGAAATTAATAATCATTAATGACTTGGTTGATTCAATCTTTGGGGTCTTCTAGACAGACATCTACTCCCTGAACTGTGCTTTGATAGGTATCATAACCATGTTCCATTGCTAACCAATAATTGAAGCAGTTTTTTTTCCTTAAACTAGATAAATATACTCCAGAGGATTCTGTTCCCACTGAGACTGAAACCAAAGTAGCCTTTTAAGGTTATATTGCATATTTCAGCCTTGAGCCATTGTATGATTATTTCTCTCCCACCCCAACTCCCAGAAGATGGTTTTACTTCCTGTGTTTCAAAGTTCTAAGGAAGTAGGTGGTAACGCCTCACGATAGTCTTTGTCATTAATAATTGTCATTGATAATTGTCCCTTTGCTACCTTGCCTTCCTCTTTCTGCAAGTGAAAGCCCTGTTGATATTCTGGACTGGCTCTCTCCAATACAAATATACTACAAGGGGTATATGCAACTTAAATTTTTCCAGTAGCCACATTAGCAAAATAAAAAGAAACAGGTGAACTCAGTCTTAATGTTTTTAATCCAGAATATCCAAAATGTTATTTCAACATATAATCAATATTTTTAAATCACCAAGGTAATTTACATGCATCTTTTCAAGTCTTTGAAGTCTTAAATGTATTTTACACTCGCGGTACATCTCAGTTCAGGCACCACACATTTCAAGCACTCCACACACGCATTTCTGCAGACAGTTGAGGTTTAGTCTCTTTGAACATAGTCACATTTCTTTCCAATTCTGAACAAAGAGCATATGATAGGTCCCCTTACAGAAGGTCCTTCTAAAGGCCCAGGCTCCATGAATCTCACTGAGATTTGTTAGGGTTGGTGTTTCGATGCCTGCTAGCTATAAAATCCAAAGGAGCTTATGGTTGCTATGATAGTATGACGACAGGGGACTATATAAGCATAAGAGAAGAAAAGTAAAATCTAAGCAAAATATGAAGCTGGTCTTTATTACTCTTTCAATCTTTCCCTTCCCTCCCCATCTTCCTCCCACTGACTTTACCCAGGCACCCAGGGTCTTGTGTTCCAGGACTCCCATTTGGATACAAGCTGGACATGCCCCAAGCCAGGTTCTGCACTCTCTGCTAATTCTTGCTCCCAATAAAATTTACCTGGCCTGCAGCTCAGTCCTCCAGTCTTACAGTTTATTGTGCTTTCTGAGAAACTAACCTGATTGAAGGCGTAACTGCTGATAATAGTTTACTGAGTGATTTTCCCAGAAACCCCACTTGGTCACTGGGGCAGGGACTTACCTGAAGAAGTGAGCAAAATGGGACTTCGAGGGCCTTGGGCAGGATCCCTGGCGCAGGTGCTTTCATGTTTGATGGAGAGATTACTAGTCTGCTCTGTAGATTTTTCTGAGGGTCATTTATTCTCTGAGGGTCATTTATTGACTTGGAGTCAGCTCTGTAACAAGCAGGGCATTATGATAACATCCCCACATCGTCTCTGCTCTCCCTGTACTGAGATACTTGTTTCCCCATCATCAGTGGAGAAACATGACTTTTGGTTTTCTGTCAACTAAACAATAATGGGTCGGGGCTGGGGATTTAGCTCAGCGGCAAAAGCGCCTGCCTGGCAAGCGCAACGTCGTGAGTTCGGTTCCCGGTACCGGAGAAAAACCAAAAAAAAACAAAACAAAACAAAACAAAAAAAACAATAATGGGTCAAACTGCCCGTACATTTTAAGAGGAAACATCTGGGAATAAACTCTTTATTTGAATGAAATATCTATACATTTGGGCCTCAGACTGTCTGCTGGACTTTTCCTCTAGAGATCTAGGTTGGGGAGCTGCTGGCTGCCTGTGTGGGACTGCTTCCATCACCTGGAAGCTCAGGAAGGGAGCAGAGGATTTTTCTGCCAGTTAAGGAATGTCCTGTCAGCTGACTTGCCTGTTGCCATGGAGACCAATTGTGCAAACATTGCCTTCTCTCGGTTTCTGCTGCCCTGGCCCTTCAGCAAACAGCGGGTGGCTTAGCCTTGAGTGGGCCACACCCTGCAGACTGGCCAGCGCAATGCAGTGTCCCTCCTCCTACCTGGGAGCTGCCGGGTTGCTCATCTTTCTTCTCTTTGTCCTCAGCCAGCTAGTCATCCAGAGTAAATGAGGGTGATAGACGACTAGAGGAGGCTCCTTGCCACATGATGCACACAAAATGATATTTTTAGCTGAGATGTCAGTGTGGAAGAATTTCCTCAGTGGCAGTGGCCATCACTCAGGACTTTGCATGGGCCAAGAGCTGTGCTCGGCCCGTTGTTCTCAGTGTCTCACTTTATCCTCACAGACACCAGGTGAAGCCAGCCTCTTTTTCCTCAGAGAGATTTAGTAATCTGTTCAAGGTCACGCAGCAGGCATATATCCTAGTCAGTAACTTAAATCTAGGCCTGTACTCTTTCACCAGGACTTGAGAGATAGACAGAAGACTTAAAGTTCGAAGTTGAGGCTGGGACTGTGACAGTTGAGCATCCTGGCCCTGCTGTCCTCCACCTTCAGAAACTGGGTGTGTAGGAACGAGGAGGGTCCACAAGTTTTAAGATTTGTGCGTGTGCACACACACATGCACAGCAAAGAAGTCTGGGAGAGAAAAGAGATACCAAGTAGGACTTATGCATCCGCTGCTTCCTCTGTTTGGGTGTGCTAGTCTTGAACTGCAGATGTGAAATCTTGTATTGGGCCACAGCAATCTGAGCACCGAGAGAACAGCAACTTCTCCAGCCACTCTCAGTTTCATTGCCACATTTGATTTCTTCTGAGCTTCTCTACGTACAAAGTTCTAATAAGTGTAAGAATGGAGGATAGGGTCTGTGTGGCAGGTGGATGTTAGGGCTGAGTCTAAGTACTTACATGTGTGTTGCTCCAGTAATGTAGCTGAGCATTCACCAGTAGTGGCACTGCTTTTATCTAGGTACTTACCCATCTGCCTTCCCTCTGCATCTGTCTTGTTCAGTGCTATAACACCAAGCACACTGCCTGGCACATAGGCCTTCTCAATAAATGTTTGATGAGTGAATGAGCGAACCAGTGAGTTCATGATGTTACCACATGAATGAAATTTAACATTTGCACATCATCTTGTGGCTGTCAGAACTACTAATAATGGATTGTTTATGTGGACTCTGTCCACCTCAGCTGTCTAGAATAGTTCTTTGATTCCAACTTGGACTTAAACTGCAAAAGACTGGGGACATAAAGGACTCAGGATCCAAAAACAACAGTGCCTCTCACAAAGCTCATGCCCTTTTGGAGAGAGGCATGAAATTTAAGACAGAGCACCCAGCCAGGCAGTCAAGCTCTGTAGCTAAAGGGGCAACTCTGCACTCAGACAAGGCTGCCTACAGACCCAGGGGTGCTGGTTACTAATGAGCACCAGCTGAGTGCCTGCTGAGTCTCTGCAGAGAGAGTCCCAGGCAAATTCTGCTGGTCTCCCAGAGCTGAAGAGATGCAGGTACGGTGTCCAAAGACACCAGGGACCAAGGTGGCTCTCAGACAAAGAGGAGACAGCTACAGAAATGTAGGAGAATGAGAAAGAGTGAAAGGGACAGAAACATAGGTCCACAGACTGAGATTTGCAGAGTTCCTTTGACTTTTTTTTTTTTTTTTTTTTTTTGAGACAGGTTCTCACTATGGCCTTGAACTCACTATGTAGCCCAAGCTGGCCTCAAATTCGCAACGATCCTCCCGCCTCAGCCTCTCAAGTGCTGGGATGACAGGTGTGCGCAGCCACCACACCTGGCTTCTCTTGACTCTAGCTGAGTGTGAGTTGATACAGCAGGGAAAGCTGCCTGAAGGAGGCAAACGATATAGTCTTGTGCACTCACACAAGGCTGGGAATAGTTTATGTTCCTGATAGTCTGGTAGAAAAACTTTGTAATTCACAGAGACAGCTTTTACCTCAGTAACATGAAGAAACTCAATAA